TGCTAGTATGCTTTCATCACCTCAAAAGTGAATACCCATACCCATTTAATTTAATTAAGATTTCATTTACAATGTATAACCAGTAAAAGGGGCATAATTTTTTGAAGTAACACACACCGCTTTACTATTATTACATAAACAAAAATGTCCCATTTATGTCTTAGAATTTATATGGACAATAACTCGCTCGCTATACTTTTCACGGTCACGTAAACTATGCAAAGATTCTCGATTTCACGCTGAACGCTCCAAATTCTAGCATCAAGCGTCACCCGTGATAATGGCACTATTGTGGAAACATTGCCACAATGTAAGGACAAAACGCTACTTAGAATTTTACGTCTAAACAAAAACGGACCGTTAAAGTTTTAGGGTCAACGTACAACACATGAAGCTGATTTTTATGCACCAGTTCGCTGAATGACTACGGTTGTAACAGATAATGGTCTTCTATCAAACATTTGTCATGTTTATCATATGCTTGAAGGTAGGAGAAAGGTACCCGGCAGTGACATGGCATGTTTTAACAGTTTTTCTCTCATCAATGTTTGTATAATAGAAAGAAGTAAAATATTTTTGCAATCGCAGTGTAGGACGACCCCCCACTAAATGGAGTAACGACCTGTGCAAGTGTGCGGGAAGTCGATGGATGCAGGTGGCTCAGGATCGTGCTTCTTGGCAGTCTGAGGGGGAGGCCTATGTTCAGCAGTGGACTCAAGCAGGCTGAAATGATGATGATTGATGATAACGATAGAAATATTTTCGACTTCAAACAAAAAAAAATAAATTTACCAACAATTGACGGAGCAATCAGTGAACATATTTAAAAAAAATGAAAAAAATCTACATATACACAGTCGAACAAAGAAACTCCTCCTATTTTGAAGTCGGTTTTTTTTTTTTTTTTTTTTTTTTTTATGGGAAAAAGCAGCAAACGAGCAGGAGGCTCACCTGATGGTAAGTGATCACCGCCGCCCATGGACATCTGCAACACCCGAAGGTTAAGAGATACCTGAACAGTAAAATGTTCAGTGGAGTTTGATTATAGAAGTATTCTCGATTTATTATTTGTGTTGTTTTTCTAAATCAGATTAGACTGTAAACCGATAAGAATTACAAAAAATTATTTCTAACTTGATTTTCAAGCATAGTCCGGACATTAAATACATTATTTAGTAACAAAAGGTGTTTGTTACATTTGAAGGTAAATAATGTGAATAGCAACAAAGGTGAAATATAAATAATCTGTCGTTTGATGTTGTTGTTATATGTAACTGTAAATACAATAAATTAAATTTATATGTACAAGTTAGATATGACACTAGGGCGCAGAAACTGAGGAATTTTAATTACGGCGATTGGTGTAATTTCTCTTCTATGGATATGGGATTGATTCTAGCTATGGGTAACGTACGTCAAATGCAATTCTATAGACTGCTATCTCTTTCAATATCATAAGTTCTATATCATCTGTCACATTGACTAATACGGAAGAATTTTCAAGCGCCGCGCAGTATGGACATGCGTCATCTTCATAAACGTTTTCATATTGGAATTTTGGTAAAACTTAAATTGTAATTCCGTAGAAATATGTAGGGGCACATCGAGGTCAAGGAAAGATGCACTGTATTTATCGGCCTTTTCCCTCTATATAAGGACGGGATGACACATTACGTTGGCTTGAAAAAAATGTTCGTAAAAAATATAGTTATGTGAAAGTATTCAATCACCGCTAATTACCGCGGCCCGAAAAAAGGGTTCAGCCGCCTTCCGAGTAAAGAGAAAAAAGGAAGATGATAACTCGTCATTTTTTTTTTTTGCCGAACACGAAAATTCATTAATCAAAATCTGGATTCGTTACATTCGCCCGGGGGTATCCGAAGTCGTCCGATTTCGTGCGACGGGAATTAATAAGCGAAAGTCAACGGTTTTTATTTGTTCGGCGTTTTGATTTTTTTTTTTTTAATAAATTCTGAGTTACGGCTCTCGCAGATTAGTTCCTGTTGTTTCACTCGGATTAACGATACGTTGTCTATCAAAACGTTCGTTGGATTTACAGAGCTGTCTATGGTGGAAAGATTTCGATGCTCTATAAAATATTAGAATAATGCAATTGTTGGAATTGGGAAATGGTTGGAATTGTAATAATAAAAAAAATTATTTGGTCACATGGTCCATTGAATGCTACTTTCGTTTATAAGTTTTTTTTTTCTTATTATCCTGTGCTCCCTATTATGTTGATTACGATGAACTAAATTTTAAAATATATACATACGTTTATTCCTGTATTCGTGTACAATAATGTTTACCCAGAAAATTTTCAGAATCTTCCTTGCGTAATGCGTTCAATATCCGCGACTTATAACACATATCTCATTCACTAGGGTTTTTTTTGTCGTGTCCTAGAAAAATGCTACTTCATCATGTTTTTATGTCGTTCTTCTCCTTATAAATATTTTGGAAACTTTCAAAAATCGTTTTTGAACTTTTAAGTATATACACAGGTAGAAAAAATGATATGTTTTATCGCTAAGCAAAATCAGAATTACCTAACAAACTAATCACTCGGTATTAAAGAATGTACTTCAGGAACAAAGCTCCAAACGTCTTTTATGTTGCAACAATTTAAAACATTTAATTGCTTCTTTAATTGGAAGTTAACTTTTGCAATACCTTTGTAACAGTAGCTTAAGCGCATTGAGTGTACTGAGCTTGGCAGCACCAAATTATAAGCAGATTATAGACAGGTGTCTATTAAAGTACAATACTTAAAAATCACGAGAGCGGTTCGATATTTGCCAGTGTTGTCTCCCGACCTCAACGCGCACGAGTCATCGTAATTAATTACCCGAACTGTCAATTGATTTGGTCTCTATCCGGTTTTAAATTACACCCTAGGGCCATAGTTATTTCTATTTAGACAAATGAACGTTCGATTGCCTTAAGTAAGAATTTTATTAATTTTGTTAACGTTATTCATAGTTTAATTTTTATTTGTAGTTTGGACATTTACGAGATTGTTTAATTTTGAATGTATAATGTATCGTCGGTGACAACGAACGTGCTTAACAAGATTAGTAATAAATACTAATCCAAGTTTTCCTAAACTAGCTTTGTTTAAGTGCTAAATCTTTTATATAATATTGTCATCATCTTTATCATCATTTTAGCTTATAAATATCCAGTGATGATTTAAGGCTCCCCCAGAGATTGCCACGAGGCACGATCCTGAGCCACCGGCATCCGTCGACTTCCCTCACATTTGCACAGGTCGTCACTCCATCTAGTGGAGGGTCATCCTACACTGCTATAGCCAGTACATGGTTGCCACAAGAAACTATTTTCCGATCGTTTATCGATTTAGCATACTGTGGTAGAGCCACGCAACAGTCTTCTCTGTTGCACGAATGGGCAGCTCCGTCCGGGTAAGTAACACGACCTCACGGAAGACCAGCGTGGAAGTGTTATGCGTTAGTCTGGTGGCGGCGGTTATCACTTAATATCAGGTGAACCGCTCAGCTCCCTTGCCACATTTTCAGATAGTAAAATCACTTAGATAAATTGAGTTCTTTTTCGTGCGTTCACCTGAAATATCTCCGCGCACGTCACCGATCTCGCCCTTGCCTAAACCACTCATACCGGGCGACAGTCAGCCGGTGCGGACGGCGAAATCTTGACGCGGGGCTTTACACGAGTTTATTATTTACACGCTTCAACGGAACACTCGTGTCGCCCGTCAAGCGTTGGAACGCTCAAGTGTTTTTATCGACACGAAATTCGCGGTGCATTCGGGCGAAAGGTCACAAGCTGAGTTCAGTACGGCAATAATGGGTTCTGTATGCTACAATTATCAATTTTTTTAGGACAAATTTTAACACAATGTTCTCTAGTCCCAAACTTAGCAACGCTCGTACTATGGGTACTAGATAACGGATAAACATACTTTTCTTTATTATCTATAATATCTGGGTGTTTGTATATGCATAATATATATTATACAAATATAAACCGCATATATAAACACCCAGACACCAGAAAAACGGTATGTTTATCACACAGTATTTTTCCAGTAATGAGGATCGAACCCACACCCTCCGGCGCAGAAGGTACACTACTTATTACACCATTAGGGTCGTCATTATACCTGTGATAGATTATGCGTGTAGTTTTGAGTTTGCAACCGGTCACAGGCTTTTTTATTCTATTCATCCACTAACCACAGAGTGATTGGGGTAAAATACAAGCGTGTGATGATTTTGTTTGTATCGATATTCCAATAAGAATATCGTAAAGGAATCAGTTTTAGGTAAAATTTTTTTCATAGTTACGCCTTACGGTTACGTTTTTCGGCTCTGTAATATTGTTGTCTTCTTATTCATTATGAATCTTGGTTTAGTTTTAACATTCGCTAAAATATTACGCATTTTACCGCAAAAATGTAATTAATATTTAAATGCATTTTTTAATATGCATTTAAATATTAATTACAGGCATTGTCTTGACCCAACTAAAGCAGTTTTTTAATTTATTTCATCTAAAATAATAACTTACATTAAGATGATTGCCACGTGGTTCTTGCTATTGCACAAATCGGCTTGACCAGGATGAAGCAGAAGTATTATACTTCTGCGTTTCGTCTGATAAATGAGGTAACCGGGCCAATGTTTTTAAAATCACATCTGCCATTCAAATGTTGCAGATGCTTATCATTTAACATGAGGTGAGTGAATATCGTTTAACAAGAGCGCCAGGTAGCTTTTCACCTCCTCACATAAAAAAAATAATAATTGATGATGCATTTTGCTCATGTTCGTTCTTTCTGTTATGTGTGCTGTTTTATAACGAAATTTGAATGTAAATTAGTCTCTAACCTTTGAACCCCAATCTACTACAGAGCGAATACGCAGAGCTAATATTTCATTTACACTCGCGATGACTTGGCAGTCATTCAGAATTCCCGATCGTATTCATTACTTAGCCCAGTCCGGCGCATTCGCAAAATGAATACAAAACGCTACATCGTAATCGTTTGCAAATTGCGCGTCATGCTCTTATTTCGACGTTCCGCATTTAACGAACCGCAGCGGCGCGCCCGAAAGCGATACGCATCAAAATTAGATCCGAAATCCGCAACGTCACCGCCCGAATCCGCTCGGACGCGGCGTCAAAGGGCGAGCGCGGACCTTTACGGTGCAAATTACGCCGCGGCGATCCGTCAAAACGCATCGGAACGAAATCATCGATTCATCGCGAATCGATTCGTCCGCGAGTGCGCGACCACCTGCGTTTCGCGGGCAACGGACCCGTATCTCGTTACATCGACACCTCGAACGATATTACACACAATTACCCGCGGGATCGGCGCGGCGAAATCGATTTTAAGATCGATGTTTCGCTAAATGACTCGGGTAGCACCGTTATACTGATAACACCTTTTGTACCTTTTCGCGGTATCGTTTTATAATAAGCCCTCGAAATTTTGGAACGATTTTTAATGGATGCGAAAACACTACTTTCATATTCTTAATTATATTATGGAGTTAGGACATTTCGTTGCTTCCCTCCTAATTTCATTTCAACCAATTTTTTTTAATAAAACTAAGCAATAAACCTAATCGTTCGTTAAATCCTATTCATCGCTATTCGCCTTTTGATACGTGAAGTTGCATAACGGTGCCAATCTTCATATACTATTTATAGTTAATTACATCATTCAACGCGCAAAAGGGTAAATTGCATGAGTATCTTAATTTAACATAATAAAGTATAACGTATATATTATTACCTAATATCCGCCGCCATAGTTCACACTTTACTTCAATGCATATTAAAGAATAATGTCTATTAGATTTATATGCTTTACATTTCATTTTATTAATTATTACTAGAGTATTTGCGTACTAGAATGTAAGCTCTGTTTAACGATGACAAGTTTGCAGGGCGTATGTACATTTCCCATTTGAAAACTTTTCTTAAAACGTAAAATATTTGTGATTTTGGTTTATGTTTTACATGACTCTGATAATGCATTCACAAAATTGGTATATTAAATTTGTTTACATTGGAAAAAACGTCAAAGTTATATGAAAAATAATAGAAAAATTACAATAATAATTAGCAGGGTAATTTGCAATGTTTAAATAGAGAGTAGTGCGGATATTAGCGATATTTATATTATTCAGATATTTTATCAAAAATTATCATATTAATAAACAAGTGCATAAAGAAATCTGCATTTTTTCTGGTCTTATCAACAAGTGAAGATTATCAAATTACAGTAGAAAATTTAGGAAATCTCTAACATAATAACTATTGAATACCAAACTACTGAACCTCCCGAGAGATAGACTGACTGCACAAAACTTAAAGATAATATATTTTATGATTTCTTTCGTAACGTGTAGGTTTCTTAAAGATGTTACAAATTGAAATTACGGCATCTGTGCTGCCGTAATTTCAAATTAGATTACTCAAGTACACTTTATGAACTTAGTTCTGAGCTCATATCCTTTACTCTAGTATCCTAGTCCAGCCTAATTAAAATTAAATTATATAAATATAGTACATAAATTATGTACTGAATCATTGTAATACTGTAACGGCCATTAGGGCTGGTAACGAGCCATAATTTAGCTCGAATGAAGCCTGAATCGAATAAAGAAATTTCAACTGTTGTCTTTTTGTAATGCAGATGCACCGGCCAAGTGCGAATCGGACTCGCGCACGAAGGGTTCTGTAACATTATCTATAAAACGGCAAAAAATCATGTCTATTGTTTCAGAGCCCCACTGAAATATTTTTATCCTGTTTTTAGTATTTATGGCGGGAATAGAAATATATCATCCGTGAATTTTAGTTGTCTAACTATAACAATTCTTGAGGTACAGCCTGGTGACAGACGAACAGAGACACAGACAGCCGAGTCTTAGTAATAGGGACTCGTTTTGCCTTTAGGGTACGGAACCCTAAAATGGTACTCGTAACGAGTCCAGCAGAAAGAGATCGCGACGCCAACCCTCGAGGAGGCGCGACACACCCCCGCATCAATAACGCCGATTCGGATACAGATATTCGTTCCTTAAACGTGTCTCGGTAATATTTCTTATAACACCGATACACGGTCACAATTACGGGTCATTTATCACGGGCGGCGCGATCGGCAGAAACCGTTGCCCCGTGTTGCTCTACGGTGCCTTTTGGTGTTCAACGAATTATTTTAACGGCGGCGGTTTCTCGGAACGCTTTTTAAAAAGGCTTTGGAGCAGGGGAAACTATTTGTTATCTTCTTAGTGAGAGTTATAGATATAGCTTGCCTTTTTAAACTCAAAATTTTCGCAAAAGTCAGTGAAGGATAATTATTGTACTTAGATTTTGTATCAAGTTAGCGTTGTAGATGGGGGAGATGTACATTTTATACCAATCATATCATAGAAAATTTACTGTGATTTATAATATTGTAATTATTTAAACCTGATTGATACTTATGGAAATACATTCCAAGATCAACCTCACCCTAATTAGTCGCCCACATATGTATAGTAGATAGAAGTAGAAAAAACAACACGTATAAGATAATAGTAACTCCAAAACAGCCATGAAAATACATCAAAAATTGTGACTATACGAAAAAGTATTTTAATAATTATTTGAAGTGATATAGTGTAATTTTAGCTTTCAAACTGAGTAAAAACTTTCACTCCAATTCCAGTCATTGAATAATAATCCCCTTGATTGTAAGCTAATTTCAACTTGATCACTTTACGGGTCGAACTTTCTTTTTACTTTCGTCCTCTCTATCGGTAATATGATTTTTGCGTTAAGAAAAGAATTTGCATTAGGAAAGTCAACGTCTCCAAAGTGCATACAGGAATCGTTGGAACTTTTAACGTGCGTTTCCCTCTATTTGATGAGCGTGTTTGTATTGCGGAGAAAGGTATGACTTTCATAAGAGCACTCCAATAACGCATTCCAATTTACGAGTGGCTCGAGTCAATAAGGATGTATTCGATGTATGATAGCCGCCGTTTTCATTTGTATGCTTTAAACTACTCGATTACTGAATTGAATGACATTTTAGAACCATTTCTGTCAATAGTGATGGGCGCAATCGAATTAAATGTTGATATGGGAGTAATTTCAAGATGGTTATTGAGTTTCCGTGAATCTCATTCACCACCATCGTTACATGATTTCTTTCATTGGAGAACGTGCCAAGCGAGCACCTGATTTCACTTCCATTTCACGCTGGTTTTCTGTGAGGTAGTGTTACTTCCCCGGGCGGACCTACCCATTCATGCAACAGTGAAGGCTGTTGGATATAAATAATAGAGAAGGGTTTTGTAATGCATTCTTAACGATAACTATTTCATTTTTTTTAATATATTTCAGATTATACGTATTAAATCATTCCTAAATATCAGCACATAATACCGAGACAAAAATGTTTCAAAAGATTTATTCAATAGCTAGTTTTGTTGTTACTGCGGTATCTATGTATATATTAGATAACAAATGAATAATGTAAAAGACTGTAATGTCCAATGTGTAAGCTGATACAAAATAAATAATAACCACTATGATAGTATTTTTAAAACTTACTAAAATATGATCACACCTAAGCGCTTGTATTTCATAATATCAAAGCAGCAAAATTAATGATCTTTAGTATGAAAATGATATGATATACCCATCTTGAAATCTGAATCGAGGTGAGATTTAAGAGGTAGTCGAATGCGTAAGCAACTGGAACTAAACGAAATTATGTTTGTTTTCTTTTTGGTTTACTGAACACAACGATATTTATCTATACCAAAAGGTTTGAGGAAGAATAGATGGTCAGATTTATGTTTCTCGTCTGGTTCATTCTGGTTTTAACGGTTTTATAACATTTAAGTGTTAAAACCGACTTATTTTAGGCTATTTTGTTTAAAGACTAGTGGTTAAGTATATTGATACTTTCACTTACCATACATCTGAATGACATAAAGTTAAGAGAATGACATATAGATTGGTGAGAAAGCGGTTTAATATTTTATGATTGCGCAATTTGTTCGGCATAAATTATCAAATAATTTAGTATGGTACAGCCACACAACAGTAGCTATTGAAAAAATGGGTAGGTTCATTCGGGTAAGTACCACAACTTCACAGAAGACCAGCGTGAAGTGGGAGTGTCATATTTCTGCGTTTCGTCCGATGAGTGAGGTAGTAGGTAACACTTTATTATACGGTAGGAACGCATCTGCCACCAAATGGGTATTGTAAATGTCACTAGGCGGTGGCTATCACTTAACATCAGGTGAACCGCCAGCTCACTTGACGGCTTCTCACTTAAAAACATCTCTCAAAAATTATTCAATTACACGTGCTCACGTCAGCTCATTCGTTATGTATACCACACTCGTAGCTCAACAACACGAGTGTTCGCGTAATGTTATCACGTATGTTGTCTTAAACTTTACTTAACTGTTACACGGGTACATCAATAAATTCGAAATTTACGTTCGTACTCATATTCCCGCCGTATTCGTCGAGGAGCACCGATTAACAAGTTGCAATGCCTTAAATGTAAGCGGAGGCGATTTGGAACGCGTTTAACGCTAAACGCTCGACGGAGCACCGCGATAAATTGGCGAACGGTATTAAGCGTTTATTGGGCATAATGTACAAAGTTTACAATCTAGTTTCCAGTCTGAGCCTTACGCATCAATACGATTAAGGATTCGCGTCTCAATTCCTATGCGAATACGAAGGGCGATGTTATTCCTATTGCTCGTAACCACCCACGGCATAGTGTGGTACAAGTCATAAGATTTTGCGTTAAAATATTAAACTTCGATTGCTCGATTGATGTAGTTGATATTTCTATGATTTCGTAGAAACCTAATTCTATAGATAGTCTAATCCTATTTACTGTACTGTCATGGATCTGATGTCGAAACAAGCACAAAGAAATATGTAATAAATAAATAAATTAACTATAATTACTCCAAATCATCTATAATTTAATGTGATCCATTTTACCTAATTATATTGGTTGGATAACAATTTTTACTTTCTATAACAACTTTTGAATGAAAAATAACCTTAATTTAAATTACTGTGCATAACCTATATTAGCCGATATTTTAAACCTTAGGTTCAGTTAAATTTAAAAAAAACTGTAACAATAAAAACGAAAATAAAAAATTAAAATAACAACAAAACACGCGGGTATCCCTATCAACCGCAGAAGCTTGTAACATTCAACTGGCTCTTAAATTGGTCGCCGACAGTTATCTCGAGTTAACATTCGCACCTATTTGTAGACAAGCGTAAAATGCTAACGTTTCAGTGGGCGAATAAAGTAACAACAGAATTGCGATGGTTGATTCTAATATTCACTTAGTTTAGTAAC